GCCTCCTGAGACCACAAGCCCCTCGCTGAATTGTTTGTTGGGCTGCTCTGAGGACAGGTGCACAGCACTGTGCCCCTGTGCCCACTCCTGTTCTTCCCTGGGGAGATACATAGACTCTCTTTTCTTTCTTTCTGGGTATTTGGAGACTGCTGTCTCATTCTGCCTAAGACGGGGCTTGCGAACTCAGATGACCACAGGAGCCGGCAAAGTGATGCCAATTAGTGAAGGAGGTCAGGTGGGGTAATGGGTGGGAGGGTAGTGTCCCTACCTGCACGGGACAGTCCTCCTCTGCATCTGCGGGTTGTTGCCGCGTGAGCCCCGTGTGGCCGATGCTGAGATGGTCTAAGAAAACCTGAAGATCTGATTTTGGATGTTAAAGGTTCAAGTTGTAAACATTAGCAATACATTACAGCGTGATAAAACATGGTGTGGTCCAACACCCAACCAGCTGGCCAGCCAGATGCGACGTGGACCAGGGGGCTTCCCAGTGAAGTCTGGCCTCTCGCCACAAATTGCCCTCTCCCCCGCCCTGCCCCTTCTTCTTTTTGGGCTGAGCAGTCCATTCTCCTCAAGCCGTGACTGTGGGTGTTGGTCCCTAGAATTCCCTCCATGGCGGTCGGCCCCCCTGCATGCCTTTAAACACCGCCCAGCTTCCTCTCCGCCTGTGTCTGTCCTTTTCATCTGGCAAACTACTCTTCCTCATCATTCCCTTTTTTTTTTTTTAATTTTAATGTTTATTTTTGAGAGAGAGAGAGAGAGAGAGAGAGAGAGAGAGAGAGAGAGTGTGTGTGTGAAAGGGAGAGGGGCAGAGAGAGAGGGAGACACAGAGTCCAAAGCAGGCTCCAGGCTCCGAGCTGACAGCACACAGACTGACGCGGGGCTCGAACTCATGAACCCCAAGATCATGACCTGAGCCAAAGTCGGATGCTTAACCGACTGAGCCACCCAGGTGCCCCTCCTCCCCCTCCTCGTTCTTAATGGTTGTCCCCTGCTCTGGAGAGCCTTCCTCATAACCCCAGGCGGACTGGCTCTTCCATTTTCTAGCTAGGATGTGATGCTAGGTAAATTACTTAATCTCTCTGTGCCTCAATTTCCCTCTCTGTGAAACGGGGATGATGATAGTACCTACCTCATTAGATTGCCAGGAGGATGAAAAGAATCTGTAGATACACTGGTAGACAGACAGAAGACAGACAGACTGGGGTTTCCTAGAAGGTAGAGCTAGTCCGTGTTCCATCTCTGAAGCAGGGCTTGTCACAGAGCAGGTATGCGTTCAGCGTTTGATCACTTGAGGAAGTGGGGAGACGTGAATATGTGGTCCGCCAGCTCTAGCCATCACGATGAGATGATGTGGTTGTGAATACAGCGCTTCTGAACTCCCCACTTTTGAAAAAGGCAACCAAAATATCTATCTAAATGGCTAAAATACGACACAGTGACAGCACCAAATGCTGGTGGAGGAACCGGAATGCTCATACGTCGCTGGCGGGAATGAACAATGGTACCGTCACTCTGGGAAACAGTTTGACAGTTTTGTTTTGTTTTCACATAGAACTAATCATGTCATTACCACATGGGCCAGCATTTGTACTCTTGGGCATTTGCTCCAAAGAAGTGAAAACTTGTATTCACACAAAGCTTGCACATGAATGTGATAGCCCCAAGCTGGAAAGAGCCCAGACATTCTTCAGTGAGTAAAGGGTTAACACACCGTGGTACATCCGCACAATGGAACCCTACTCATTTTCGAAGTGACAAAATTCTGGAGATGGGGACCAGGTTAGTGACTGCCAAGGGCAAGGATGGGAGTGCTTTGAGAGAAGGGAGGTTAGGGATCCTCGGGTGATGGAGCTGTTCGTACCTCAACCTTGGTGGTGGACACACAAACCTACATGTCGGATGACGTTGTGTAAAACTAAACACACACGCACAAACGAGTTCATGTAAAACCAGGGATTTAAAAAAAAATTTTTTTTAACCTTTATTTATTTTTGAGACAGAGAGAGACAGCATGAACGGGGGAGGGTCAGAGAGAGAGGGAGACACAGAATCTGAAGCAGGCTCCAGGCTCTGAGCCATCAGCCCAGAGCCCGACGCGGGGCTCGAACCCACAGACCGCAAGATCGTGACCTGAGCTGAAGTTGGACGCTTAACCGACTGAGCCACCCAGGCGCCCCTTTTTAATTTTTTTAATGTTTGTTTATGTTTTGAGAGAGACAGAGACAGAGTGTGGGAGGGTCAGAGAGAGAGGGAGACAGAATCTGAAACAGGCTCCAGGCTCTGAGCTGTCAGCACAGAACCCGACGCAGGGCTCGAACTCACGGACTGCGAGATCATGACCTGAGCCGAAGTCGGACGCTTAACCGACTGAGCCACCTAGGTGCCCCCAGGGATTTTTTTTTAAGTTTATTTATTTATTTTGAGAGAGACAGAGAGAGCACAAACGGGGGAGGGGCAGAGAGAGTGGGAGAGAGAGAATCCCAAGCAGGCTCTGTGCTGTCAGCGTGCAGAACCTGACCCGGGGCTTGAACTCATGAAACCGTGAGCTCACGACCTGAGCAGATATCAAGAGTAGGACGGTTAACCGACTGAGGCACCCAGGCGCCCCAAACCTACTCTGAATGGATTGCTAGGTTGTGTCAATGTCAGGGTCCCCGGTTGTGATCTTGTACTACAGTTTGGCAGGATGCTATCATAGGGATAAACTAGGTAAACGTTGCCTATTATTTGCCACAACTGCATGTGCATCTACAACAACTCAAAATAAAAATTTTAATAAATTAATTTAAAAAGCATTGCATGGGGGCCGCCTGGGGGGCTCAGCCGTTAAGCATCTGACTTCTGCTCAGGTCGCAATCTTGCAGTTGGTGAGTTTGAGCCCCACATCAGGTGAGCACGAGCCCCGCGTGGGGTGGGCTCGCACCTCCCTTCTGGTGAGCTCCAGCCCCGATTCAGGTAAAAACACAAGCCCTAGGTGAGCCCCACTTCTCTCTCTCCACCCCCGCACTCCCCTCCCCTCATTCATTTGCATCTCTCTCTCTCTCTCTCTCTCTCTCAATAAAGAAATAAAGCCTTGCATGGTATTCAAAGCAAAACGAAACAAAAAGTAACCAAAAGCTGTAGGCATGCTGTTTGTTTGTGTTTTTTTGTTTTGTTTTGTTTTGTTTTGTTTTTTTGCTGAGTCTTACCTTCAGCTTCTGTTTACATTTGAATCAAGTTTACTCGGACCCTTAGGGCTTTTGCCCTCCAGCCTGGCCAAGCCAGCCCCTTCCCCATTTGCTTGTCTGCCCTCCAGACTGGGAGCTGGGAGGGACCAGAAGAACAACCTGGCCCAAACTGAGCTCCCAAGGGTCCAGGCTAAGGCTGAAGCCTGGTCTTTAGCGTCTGGAGGATGGACAGTCTGGGAGCAGAGCAGGGAACCCAGAAGACCAGTGATCACTTCCTGAAGCCCAAGGCTATCCTGACCCCTTGGGACCAGCAGGCATTAAGGCATTATGCAAATGCAGACCTGTGCCAGTCTCCTGTCTAATTACCCAACAGCCCACAATCATCCACCAGCCTTGCTGTGGCTTCCCGGATGGGCTGCATTTACATGTCCCTGATCTTCTTCCTCCAAGCTGTTTCTGCTGTTAGTTGTATAACACTTTTTGGTCAGCTCTCTTTATTCCTATCAGTTCTGGGAGGTGGCTACAACATTATAAAGGCAGGAAAACAGGCTTAAAGAGGTGCGAGTGATTGTGCCAAGACTCTTTCCCTGTGTGTGAGAACCCATAGGGTCTGTGCTGAATGAGGGACAGGGACCCGCTGGAATGAGATTGAAATTTTGTCGACTTCGTGTTGTCCAGGAATCTATGAGAGCAAGAGGTGTGATTTGTTTATTTATTCTTTAAAAAAAAAATTTCTTTAACGCTTATTTATTATTGAGAGACAGAGAGACAGAGCATGAGCAGGGGAGGGGCAGAGAGAGGAGGAGACACAGACTCCGAAGGAGGCTCCCAGCTGTCAGCGCAGAGCCCTACGCGGGGCTTGAACTCACAAACCGCAAGATCATGACCTGAGCCGAAGTCGGATGCTCAACCGACTGAGCCACCCAGGCGCCCCTATTGTTTGTTTATTCTGAGAGAGAGAGAGAGAGCACAAGTGGGAGAAGGGCAGAGAGTGAGGGAGAGAGAGAATCTCAAGCAGGCTCCTAGCTGTTAGCATGGAGCCCAATGTGGGGCTCAAACTCACAAACTGTGAGATCGTGACCTGAGCTGAAACCAGGAGTCGAGGCATAACCGACTGGGCCACCTAGGCGACCCACAAAAGGCATGATTTAAAAGAAAAATTTAAGGTCACCCAAAGAAGAAAACTTGAACTAAGATGTTCTAGACTCCTGTAGGTAGGCAATTACCAAACTTGCCTAAAGGGGTCTTAGGACCCCTTTATGCTCTTAAAATTAAGGATCTCCAAGAGATTTTGTTTTTGTGGATTATATCTGTCAGTATTTACCATATTATAAATTAATACTGAGAAATGTAAAATATGGTATTAATTCCTTTAAAAATGACCAAAACCCTTTACGTGTTATAGCAGTATAACAAGCTCCTTATATGTTATAACACTATAACAACCTTCTGTGAAATAACAATGCAACCCCAAAAAAGCAGTAATTATGCGACGCGACGGAGTAATCACGCAGCTAAGGCTGCAAGGGTCACCATATTGCCAATAGATAAGTGTATCAAATCAACGCTTTGCGCCCCAGACTTCCGCAACGTTATAGGCTAATTATATCTCAATTTAAAAAAAGGAGTAAAATAGAAAAAGCAAGTGTTCTCAACACGGGGCGAGCGACACCCTCTGATCGGTGTTTTGAGCCTGACCGGCGTGTCCATCTGTGTCTCTCTTCCCGCACAGGCCCCACCATGAGGCCCCAGTCCCGCAGGAGCCCCCGCGCTCCGCTGGCACCCGGCGCACCGCGCTAGCGCCCCGCCGGGGTGTGGGGAGGCGCCAAGGCCATGGCCAGCCACGTGGACCTGTTGACGGAGCTGCAGCTGTTGGAGAAGGTGCCCACGCTGGAGCGGCTGCGCGCCGCCCAGAAGCGCCGGGCCCAGCAGCTCAAGAAGTGGGCGCAGTACGAGCAGGACTTGCAGCACCGCAAGCGGAAGCACGAGCGGAAGCGCAGCACGGGCGGCCGGCGGAAGAAGGTGTCCTTCGAGGCCAGCGTGGCCCTGCTGGAGGCCTCCCTGAGGAACGACGCCGAGGAAGGTAGGCCGCTCCGCCCTCGGCCCCGGGCGCCCCCCCCCCCCCCCCCCCCCCCCCCCCCCCCGCCCCGGGGCTGCCTCCAGGGGCTTCGCGGCGGAGGGGTGCCGGCCCCTCCCAGGTTTGGGCAGCCCCCCGCAGGTGCTAGCAAGGGCGCTTACGTCGCGGGGCCTGAATTATGGGAGACTTTTTTTTTTTCTAGCCTTTGGCTGATGAATTCCATGCTGATTTCCCTTCCCTCCGTGAATGTTTAGGCCCCCCTCCCCCCGCCCCCCCCTTGCGCATTTCTATTCCAAGTGTGGTGAACAAATTCGATCTGGTCTTGCTCCTCCAAGAGAGCCATACTCGAGGATCTTGCATTTAAGGCCCTGTTGGGCGCCCCACCAGCGCCCAGGGCGCTCTGTGTGCGGTTGAGTTTTGTCTGGCCTTGGCTGCAGAGCGGGACGGGTGTAGAGCGGTGGTTAATAGCACAGGCCGGAAGTTAGACTGCCCTCCCTTCTGAAGCTGGCTTTGTCTTTTAGACCCCGGGGTGACTCTGGCAAGTAGGCGGCTCACTTCGGTTCCCTGTGCCTTAGTTTGCCCGTCTGTAATGTGGGGATAAATGCTAGTATCCGCTGCAAGGCCTTGCTGTGAGCATGAAATGAGGGAATACCCCCGAGTTCTTGGGCATGGATAGTCCCTCATTCTGTGTGAGGAGTTATTAGTATGTTTTATTTTATTGTGTTATGACTATAGTTTATTTCATTATATTTATATAATGAATATGTATATATATATAACGTTTGTCTAATATACTATTTGTATGTGTAATTATGTTTATACATAGAGTGTTCATAAAGTCTAGAAACGGACAAATATATACAATGTTGTCTAGGACATTTTCACTCTATAAAGCGAACAAATAAATGAGCACGAACACACATAGAACAAACAAATGAACACGAACACATATAGATACACTCATAGAATCCGTTTCCAGATTTTATGGATACCCTGTACTTGTTACATTTGACTTAATTATGGTATTATCTGTCCTCCATCCAGATATCACAATACCCTAAAGACACGTGTAATAGGCACCCATGTTACAGATAGGAAAACTGAGACCCAGAGAGGTTCAGAGCCTTGACCAAGGTGGCAAAGCTGGGACCAGAAAGCTCAGGATGCCAGCTGTTGTCGCTGGTCTCATGGCCTCGTGGGTTTGTTTCCTGTTATATGAATGACTGGAGGATCCATGATTTGACCAAAGCTCTCTTCTCTGAACGTGCGCGGTCCTTGTGCAGCTGAGGTTTGCGTATGTGTCCTGTGCCCCCTCCAGTCCCCTCCTTCTGTACAGGAGTCCTTTCTGGCTGTCCCTGGAGAGGCCTAGCCATGCTTCCTGGGTCCCTCCGGCCTCCTCCTGCCTCTGCACACCCTCAGACACGTGGTGCTAAAATAGTTGTTGAAAGAGGGACGGCACTTTCTGCACTAGAGGGTGTTGGGTTTTTCGCACATTGCTCCTCAGGTTCTAGCACCTTCTGAGAAGCACAGTTCTACTGCCCCGGCTATGGTGTTCTGGGAACTGAGCAGAAGCATTCCTGGAACCACTCAGCTGGAAACCGCGCAGCTGAGAGCCTGGGGTGAGCAGCCTGGGGGGGGGGG